ATGTCGGTGCCTAATTTAACCTGTTCGATAGCAGCTCATGCTGCCTTCAAATCAAACTTTTCTCGCACATATGCCTCGACTTCAGCACCTGCACCACGAAGGTCAAAATCAATTGGTCCAAGCGGGCATTCAAAACCTTCTTCCGCTCGTCCACTTGATATATGGTTCGGAGGTCAGGGGTCTCCTCATCAATACCGAAGATGAGTGAGACTCGATAGAAGAGAAAGGGAATAAGACGAGTAAGCACCGACAATTTCAGAGAATTCCAGAGAAATGACATTGTGACGTGTGTCTGCCGCACAATAAATAATCAGTAAACAATAATAAATTTACGGTCGCACTATTCTACAACAGAAAGGATTTCGATGGCCGAAGGAGAAAATAATTACAACTATTTCTACTTCTGACTTTTGTTCTTCTTTGTCCGTCTGTGTGATAACGTCCTAAACAAGAGTGTACGGGTAGGCACGTGTGATCAGATACAACACACAAGTACGCATGGCACCACAACACAGCAAACGACAAGGTAAGCATGCCAACAACAACAACAAACAATTTGTCAACAATTTTCTTCTTTCTGCTGAATCAATTCAGGTGGCAATTGCGATGATGCATCCTCCTTGACAGCTGGCACTACAACTGTCTCGTCAGTCTTTCAATCAGCCGTACCACCGTCGTCTTCGGAGTGCTTCTCTTACTTAGCAGCCACCTGCCTGCCACGTGTCATCCTTGGTGTGCTAACATAGCAGATCCTGCCACGTCAGCACTAGTAGTCGATCAATAAAGGGATGCTACGTCACGTCACCAAACGTGTGCTCCGTCCTTCCCACTCGCCACTTCCACGCGTCGTGTTGTGATGACTTCTCCCCTGCCACGTCAGCAATCAGTCCCAACTTTCTAAAAGGCCACGTCAGCTTCTGTAACAGACCTGGTCGTGCATAAGCTGCTAATGCAGCGTGAGAGTGCCATGTCAGCAATCACCAATAACCAGGTCTTCAGACGCAGCACATGATATGCCACGTCAGCAAGGGATCGCAATGCCACTTCACTATCGCGATCCAAGCTGGCGCGCGGTAACTCTCGATCACGGTCCCAACTGCCACGTCAGCAGCCACGTCATCATGATCTTCTCTCGCCAGTGAAGTCTCTACCACGTCAGCAACTCCGGAGGTAACAATGCCCACTTCTTGTCAAGTCATCAATACCTCAGCACACCTGGCGCGTGCACACGTGTGACTGTCGTCGTCAGGAGAACTGCTCCGATACCAAATTGCAATGAACCCAGGTCGTGAAGACAGTCGTCAACAATGCAAGTCCAGATGAGTGTCAACCAGCTGATGATTATCAATAATCGTATTCGTTTCCAGATACCCAAGAGAAAAGAAGACATACACAGACGAGGTAGATGAGAGGGAGAAAAGACTTAGAGAGTGGGGAAGATAAAACAATGCCCACTGCTTCTTCGGGCTCCCTCCACAATCACCACCTCAATAATCAATGATCTTAACGAGTATCTGAAGTAACCTCAATGTGCCACGTGGCACGTCTAGTCAGTCCCTCATCAGCGATGGAGCAATGTCGACATGAAGACAACCAGGTAAGTATCCACGATCTCTCCACAGTCTTGATCTCCTCCTGAATGACGATAATCAGAACAGCAACACAAGTCACATGGCTTCGCCTCGCCAACCAGTGGTATACTTGGCAGCTCTCACATCAGCCACCAGTAGTACACGTGGCAGCAGCCATGTCAGCGACAGCGCATGGCAGCTGCCACATCAGCATGCCAAGAAGACAGGTGCAAGCCAGCCACCATGCTGGACCAGCAGCTCGTCGCCGTAGACACAATGCCAGCACAGAGCCAGCGCTCAGCCAGCTTCACAGCGTCGAGCCAGAGTCGTCATCAACGGTTGAATACAGCATCGACGTAAGACGGAATGAATGTCAAAGCCAGGAAAGTCGGCGCTTATGTAGCGTTGACTCGGTGTCTGGGCCCCGGATGCTACCACTCTCAGCCGTCCAGATTCCGACGCAAACTAAGGCCCAGATTGGTCTGAAACTGAATTCCCTCCGGCCTGGATGCTTGTCTGCTTGTCTGGGTACCTGCGCACAACAAGTGAGTGTATCCAACCAAGGGCCTGGGTGCGGTACCTTTGACTCTACAGTTGACTTTGACCCTTGAATTTCCTGTGTGCAGCGTTCGGTCACACARCCAWACGYGACAGASTYAGGCCTGGGCGTGTCTTGGTCACACAGCCCAGCGCAGACCAACTCAGGTCTGCGTTGCCTGGGGCTGAGTTCTGGGCCCCAGGCTACTTCTGAACAGGGTTACTGCA